ACCAACTTTTTTCAGGCTCGTCAGTGCCAGTGTAAGAAATATGACATGCTTACAACTCTATGAAACACTGTTTTGAATGTCTGTTAATTGTTAGCCCAAAAGCTAAATGGAACAAACAAACAGTAAATGTCAATATAGTATTGTAAACTACTTATTTTTCAAGTTGCTTGGAATCAATTTTCGCTAATTTTGCTGAAGGAATTCTTCAGTGAAAATATAATCCAACAAATATACCAGTGAAAATAAATTCCATACAAAACACCCAAAAAGTCTTTTCAGCGAAAAATTAGTTCCAGCTAAAATAAAGTATTTTACAGTAGCCAAGGTGTTAACAATCGATTAAGCCTGAGGATGTACGGTAGTAGACTTTCGTTGGGCAAAACAGAAAAAGCTTGATAAAAATAATAATGATTAATGACTAACAATTTTTACATGTTATTGTAGCCCTTGCAACACTCTATTCAAAAATGTTGATAACACTAATGTCAACATTAAGTACGTCACGTGACTGCTAAATAAACAAAATCGATTGTTCTGCAATTTTTACTGCTACTAGAAAATGAAAACAGTTAGCCAATACATTTTTATGAGAAAAGGAAGACTACAATGTTCTAACAACAATAATGTAAAAGAGATAGTTTCTGAATTGTTTGGTTCTTTTACAAAGTGGTGGAGAAGAATTCTGTAATAAATTAAGTGCTCTCTTTTCACAGGTCAATTAGTAATGAAATATTACTGATACTTGAAAAGTATTTTACATTTTACATTGAACTTGAGTTCAATCTCTGAAAAAATCAATGGAATCGGACAAGAACTGTTCGCGTAATCGTGATTTTTGTGGTTTTAGACAAGTTATGTTTCAAATGGGTGGAAAGACTCAAAAACCAAAAGTAGCACAGTCGAGAGGATATTTTCTCTTCAGCGCATCGTATTCAGTTATTTTTTGATGTTTAAGATAGATATTGTGTTGGTTTTATAAAAATCAGAAGAACACGTTTGATACATTGCCGATAAAGTTATGAAAAAATCGATAATTTGAAAAAAGCAACGTGAAAACGAAGCATGGCCACCCTTGAATAAACAGTGTAATCCCGTTATCAATTTAAGTTTATTTGCTTGACAAGCTTAGTTTCGAGTGTTATACAACATCACAACAAACTTGGCAATTGTTTATGTACAAACGTGA